ATTAATAAGGCGCTCTATAGAAAGGATCTGCTCTCAGATTGGGCATCCAGGCGAAGGTTAACTCTATCGATTGCCCACGACCCCCAATATCCCAGGTCGCTGTGTTAACAGCCATGGAAGTTTCCGGTTCGGCCACTGCTGTTCCAATGGACTCCGCAATTGAGTAAGTTCATACTGATTGTTACCAGGCTGGAACGGAAATCAGGAACGTCTGGTTGTGTCTAGCCTACTTTCTTGCTCGGTGGCGATGTCATATAATAGTGAAAAGTGGTCAAAAACTGGAGATTGTGTTGCGTTTGGCTAACGATGGTGGAAGATTGAATTCGTTCTTCATGCGTTCTTGCTTCTAGTACCTTAGTGGGAGTGCTTAGTTTTCTAAACATTTTCTCCTGCTATAGGCGCGTTCTTAATGTTCCTACGCACTTCTAAGTACCCATTGTGTGTGGAAATTCGGCGCTAATCCCCTCCTGTACCATTACACTACAAACATTGCCTTTAATATCTACTGTATTCTTAGAGGCAGTTGTTAGAGTTAGTTGTCTATGAAACCTCTATTTATTTCTTATCGGTAGTTGGTACTGTTCGTGAGGTGCAAAGGAAAGTACAATGGAGGGTATGAGAACCTTAAAAATGGAACTGTGCTTGCTTATTGAAGCGCTTACTCTGGATCTGTGCACGATAGTTGTGATTGGTAAATTAGTTTCAAAGTGACTAACATAGCCATGACTGCTTTGAAGAATAAAACGAAGAACGGATTTAATGGAAAAGAGTTCTAATTATGGCTGATAAAATACAGCCACTGACATTTCTTGTGTAGTACATGTCAGTCTTTATCCGATTCATGGACGAGAAGATCATTAGCTCCAGCGACACACACGGAGAATTCCTGGTCGAGTTGCATACAATCGTTGTTACAAAATTTGCATCTGTACAGTAACGTAATTTAGATCACCAATCGGAGTCACGGATACCCGCCCTGATTATACTATACTCATCGCCAGGGCGCCAGTACCTAGAAGCATGCCAACTGTGACAATTCTATTCTTCTCAACGCGAAGAGTCAGCTCCTCACCCGAGCGCCTACTAAAAAATAAAGCAAGTTCCCGCGTTCTATGCGATTCCAATCCGGTTTTTGTTTCTCGAACCTCCCCTAAATATGCTAAGCTCGCTGGAAAATTCGCTCTTAGGATCTTCTCATCTACTACTATGAGGTGTCTAGTTGAAGTTTCGGTTCCCGAGAACCACGTTGCCAGAGTTAGATCTTTTTCGTGTAAGTCCTTCCATATTGTACCACTGAAAAAAGACACTAAGACCAAGTCGCGTCATGCGGGTATGGTCAGTGGTAACAAGATCACCAAGTTCAAGGCCACCAACAGAGAAACCTAGGAGAAGATGCTTGTGGGGGGGGCACAAGTCGAGCAACAAGTATCCGGCCCCATATTTACCAACATGGGAAGTCAAGAGCATGATTTGGGCATCGTTCTTTATGACTCATCCTATTGCTAACGGGGTTTGCGGGAGGGCTGACGGATACTTCGCTCACAAATATGGTAGGTCATTCCACACGCTATAACCCTTCCCCACAATAACCATATTTCAGGTTTTGCAATTACAAACATTATGAGAAACCAGTCCGTGTAATTTTCTATCCACTTCAGAGAGCGACGTGGAAAGCGTATCCGGAAGAACTTCAGAATGGGGGAAAGTGATGTGTTCACCGGACGGGGATCACGTATCTATTGGGAGCGGGAGAATCCAAGCGAACGAACAGAGCGGAGTGTTGTGAGGCAGGCCTGTATATTTGGGTCCAATGGCAGTTCATATTTGGATTCTGCAGATTTGTCATAAGCGAGATCTATAGCACCAGAGCCATTATTGTGCTGTTATACCATTCCGACTGATAACAGGCGGAAGGTCTGCAGATTGTCCATAGATATCATCGGATTACGAAACCTCGGAATTTTGCTCCTTTCACCTAGATTGCGTCAAGAATTCACCCAGTGGTCGCCTGGTCGCGGTAGCTAGTATAATTTACATCCACCAACAAAGTTAACCAAAGACACACGGGCTTCACAAAGAGAAACCAGATGAGGACTCCCACTGTCCATGGCCGTGCTTTGTCTCTTTAACACTTCCATTCCAGACAGATACAAATTCTGCTTCATCACGGATATCTTGATCCCTCCGACGCAGACTTTAATCTTGAGTCACTTAGTACGGTATCCCGAGTGCTATAATTTAACTTACATCTAATGAGTATTCACAATAGTAGGCTCGGCTAGATGATTCAGATAATCACTTTAGTGATTGCATAATATCTCTAGTGTCACGAAAGTACGGAGATTGCAATTTGGGTAATTTGTACAGACATCGAACCCCCCCTAGTAACACTACTATCTTGGGTCCAGGGAACATACCCTCCGCTCCGGAATTGAAAAGACACGTGGCGAGACAAAAGGAGAAATGGAGCAGACAAGTGGTGGCTTGAATGCAGAATGTGATTCAATTATTTATTTATCCTTGTATCGCCGACCCGGCATCAACAAGAAAAATGTTGTTTTGTCACCAATGTGTATAGTGGTTACGGTTTTGGATATGTATTTATGGTGCTATTGTTGGGATCGGAGATGACAGATTGCAGGTTTCTTTTATTGGTGGAATGACCTTCTATATATGGGAAGTGGTAACGGTTGTATTGTAGGAATGGACAGTACACTTGTCATCATTGGGAAATGAAGACAGCGTGCACCTCTCGGTTGGCATTGTGAGATAGCATAGGTGTCATCATGGGCAGATGAGAGAGATGCCGGAACTCCTGTATTTAAAGGACGCCGTGCGCTGGTTATGTTGGAAGGAGAGGTCAGCGAGGAACACATGGAGCAATCAAGTTACCAATTCGGCCAGTATTCAGCCTACTTCATCGCTCGGTTGCATATATTTCGTGCTTTCTTTCAATAATGAGTACCTTGCGAACACGTTACAATTCATGACAGCAACTTAGGCTTATGCAGGACATGGTGAAACCTTAACCAAGGTCCTCTGTTGATTGATTTCCTCCTTGTGTAATATAAGCAGGCACTTGAGACGAATTCTACAAATCATTTATTATTATCACTGATTCCCCTTGATTGGAAAAAATTGATAAATATTTCTCTGCTACTGACCGAGTACCAGTATACCTAGCAGCGGTCGTCCTTAATCCCAAATTTAAGAGGCATTACTTTGAAACAAAATTGGAGGCTCCTTAGGTAGTGAGCTCCGAGAGTCACTTGAGAAATAATTAGCTAAGCTGTTTGGAAGTAGCTCAAAAAAGAGAAAATGGAGATCATTGTCTAGAGCAAGTAGGCATTGAGGAGAGATATAGGGAAGTCAATGATGACTGTGAGGAATGGATGAATATAATGCCATGGGCTAGCGAGTAGCAGGATGAGTATTTCAGATATTTTAGTAATGCGGAGCCGGATATCTCCGTTCAAACCCCATATGAGTATGACTCAATCAATTGACTATTTTACGTAGTTTTGTTAACATACGGACTACCTAGATGGCGGTTTCACAGTGGACAGAAAAGTGAATATCTAGTATTATCTAAGGGGACAATCAATCTACCTAGTATACTGGCAATATCATCTGAACTGGAGAGAATATTCTCAGAAACCAAGTATACAATCAGTGATTAATGGCATTCACTTGGTGCAGATATGATTGAAGCTGTTCAATATCTCCGGAGCTTGCAGTCTACTGATTGGATTGACGAAATCGCTCATGGACCTTAGGAACTCATTTCTTGTAGTTGTTGTTTCTCCTTTCTTTTCTTGTTATATTTCTTGTTTTTCATTCACTTTGTTCGATAGGGAAGTACAGCTGCCGTTGTGAGACTCCCAGAAAGAAATTAAGTTTAAGACAAGGTGGTCTGAGAATATGCGATCTGTTAAGATAGATAAAGCAATCCTCGAAGAGGATTGTTCCCTGGTTCGATTCTCAACATCGACTATGTGGGAGACTCTGCTCATTAAATACTTGAACGGAAAACTTCTTATCTCTAGGATATCTGGCATAAAGAGAAAGAAACAGGACACGTATCCAAACTCGGACTCAATGACAACTATCCACCTCAATGTTACCCAAAGACACGTAAACAGGACGTATAGGTGTAAAATAGTTAACAAGAAAGTATAATCTTAAATAAATGGTGTAATGTTATACCTATGACCACAGGAGTAAAATAACGGGAAGAACAAGACAACACACTCAACTATCAACACTCTTTCCCGCAAATGGCCCCGGCCCTATAATGCTCCCTTTTCTGGTAGCTTCTACAATTCACTCATCAGGAAAACTATGTCTTTTGAGTATTAATGATGGCAATAATTACTTCTTCAAATGCAGTGAATTAATTGCTTTTGTTTGAAACATTTGGGCTTTCTGGATAGCTTTGGCTTTATTTTGGTCGGCTTGGGTCGGGTGGGCCTGGCATCATTTGGGCCGGGTTTGGGCTGGGCTCAGCAATTTACGGCCCGGGTCTGCCCATTGCGGGGCATGAATGCTTTCGTTCCGTTGCCCTATCTAAAGTGACGGCTCCCTTCCGTTTGGCGAATATTTTTACGGTAGAAACAGACGCAATACAGAACAGAACTGTCCCAGCCAAACACGGCCATACCTGTTCGCGGAGGCCAACAGCAGTCACACTCACCTAAAGCTAAGAGGCAGAGTTACACAGAGTACCCCTCCACCCCACCAAGCTTCCACTTGTGGATTCGTCCAGCCTCCAATCCGTTAGCCCACAGCCATCCTCCGCTGTTCCTGAACCCTACGATAACGTTCTTCTCCTCAGCATCTACGCTCTCTACGCTCTCGGAGGTACAACTCTAGAGAAACATGCTGGATGTTCTCGGCTTTATTGAAGAACGGGGTGGGAACAAGGAGGTGATTCGTGAAGCTCAAACAAAGAAGGAGATATTCGCCTGTTGAGGCGGTTGACGAGGTTATTGAGTTGTACGATGAAGGCCGTATTGGTCTGTATCCAGCTCCGTTCCCTGATCTTTGAGTTTTGCTAATTGCGTATGTAGCAAGATTCAATGTCGACAAAAAAGGCCAAGAAATCAAAACGACCCAGAAGCAGATTGTTGCGAAGAAAAAGGTAAGCCTCTATCGAAACGTTCGTTGCACTTGTAAGCAGTCTTCCAAACGGGCCACGTAGGCCGGGCCGAATTAAAACCGGGCCTAGCGGGCCGAAATCTATGAAAGTCTACGCTGGCCGAAACCCTAGAGAGGCCTTAAGTTCCTAAGCTCGGCCCGCCTTTGTCACTCATCCAAGCTCTCAACATTCATGCACCATTACAACAAAATGTTACGACCGAAAGTTGGAATTAATCTGGATGAAACGAGCCATGCCCCATGACGATAGTTTTTCAATACAAGGTCCTACGCCTATGGTTCCCTAGGATGCCTGATAGGTTTCCCCCGGATGATGGAATTAGGCCTCTATTGAGCTTAGGCAAATTGTCGCGGCAGCTTTCCATGGCCCGGACCACATCCTATAGGTCACCATATTTCCAGTGAATCCAAGCGTCCGCCTTCGAGTGCGGACTAGACGGACGGCAGCGCACGGTAGAACCCCCGGGACTGAAGGGCGGGCACCGGGGGCCTCCCCAGAGGAGAGACGCGACACGCCCCTCCATGTGAAGACCGGGCCACGCAGGGACCTTCCGTGTCCTACGGATAACCGCCGGAGGATGCCATTTGCACTAAGACTGGCTGGACTGCGATCAAACCACTAGGACAGCGGCCTTCATGAAAGACGGACACCGAAGACTTTTGGGAACACTCCCTATCCCTGGCTTGGCCAGTTGGGAACACTGCTCGAAGGAATGGTTGCTGACACGAAATATAGGCCAAAGAAGACGCATCCATCCTCATAGAACAAAAGTCAAGTTAGAGGCCGAGAAGAAAGAACTTGAAGTTAATGCTAAAGAGAAGAAGAAGCAGTTATACGCTAAACTCCGCACCATTGGGAATATTGTTCATAACTCTGTTCCAGTGAGAAACAATGAGGACAACAACGAACTCGTCAGGAGCTGGGCTGCAGATGGAGTAATGTTGAAAAGTGCAGTTGTCTCTCCCACCACGATGTGCTTACCCGGTTAGACGGATATGAGGCAGAGCGCGGTGTCAAGGTAGTCGGACACCGTGGCTGCTTTCTCAAGCGGTGGGGTGTGTTTCTAAACCACGCATTGATTAATTATGGATTGGCGTATTTGGCGTCAAAGAAATACACCCCACTTGAGACGCCCCAGTTTATGCCGAAGAATATGATGGCCAAGACTTCTCATCTAGAGCAGTTTGATGACGAGTTGTATAGGGTGAGTGTGTGTATTGCGATGAATGAGCGGGACACACAGAGTACACAAGAAGGGTTCTAACCAAGTGGCGCAACAAGTTTCATATGGAGAGGAGAAGAACGACAAATATTTGATTGCTACCTCCGAACAGCCCATCTCCGGTCTTCATGCGGATGAATGGCTGCAGCAGAAGGGGCTGCCTATTAGGTACGCAAGTTTTAGTTCATGCTACAGTCGAGAGGCGGGGGCCCACGGAAAGGATGCTTGGGGTATTTTCAGAGTTCACCAGTTCGAGAAGGTAAAGCTACAAAACCTTTTTGACGGGTTCCCGCTAAGAAAAGCCCAGTTGGAGCAATTTGTCATCACACATCCTGAGAAGTCTTGGGAAGCGTTCGACGAAATAATCAACTATTCCGAGGAATTCTACAAGTCGCTCAACATCCCTTACCGTGATGTCGCTATTGTGTCTGGTGCGCTCAACAACGCCGCGGCAAAAATATATGATGTCGAGGCTTGGTTCCCTTTCAAGGGAGAGCACAAGGAACTCGTTGGTTGCTCCAATTGCACCGATTATTTCAATATAATTTATTTATCCTTGGATCGCCGACCCGGCATCAACAAGAAAAACACAAAACTAAAATGAAAACTAAAATAAAACACAACCATGAACAAATTCATCTCGCAACCCTCCAATCAAACATAAATCCAAAAATCGCTACCAGCATGCTCACGGGCGCTCATCCCGACTAGCGGGATCCCGGAATAATGCGTCTTGATGCCTCGCACCCCTCCTCCCAATATCGCCCTCCAACACATCCAAATTATCACTCGCCCTTGCCCAAAGCAAACTAAACAATTCATCCCAGCATCTATCCTGTTTCCTCACATGACCTATCATCGCTCTCCTGTTCTTAAACACAGCGGCACAACTAGGGCAACAGACACCAAAAACAGGAATCTTCATGGCCCAAAAAACGACCAAGCTGTTCCTCGTGGCGTAATCAAGTTCGTGCCACATGCCAACCATCTGTTCCCAGTAAACCCCAGCCCAGTCATCAGCACATTCCGGGTGATGCGCGATGTGCCTATTGAACATCTACTTAGACGTGAATATCCGGGTACAACATGCACACATGTCCGGCCTTCCAAATAATGCAAACATGTATTGGCCCATATTGGAAGTATGTCTGACTGGGTGGTCGTCATACGAGTCATGCATCACTACTGTCAAGGTGCCCGCACGCTTCACATACAGGGTGTGGTCAAAGGTGTTACCAGCAATAATCCTCTCACCGTGTACAACGGAAAGGTGTGAAGGAATTCCCAGTCCCAGGTAATCATGCTAGGTCCACCAAGTCTTCCAGGCTGCGATCTGTCGATCATCATATAGTTTATCAGGCCGTAGAGTGTTATAGCGAGAACACTGGGTCCAATGTCGACATGTATCCCTCCCAATACAGTCATCATGACCAACAATGCCGGTGCTCGATTGAATCCGTAGCAACACTAACGCGTCCATCCGGGTCAGTCCACGCAAGTGTCGGGGTGGCTGCGGCCTGCGCTCGTAATAGCTGTGTCCTTCATCCTTGTGCCACTGCAACCATTCTCGCTTCCTTTTATCCTTTGCGATCATGGAGTATTCTATGCCAAAGCATAAGCCTTGCCAGTATCGAGGCTGTGGCCTAAAGAATACCGCTGCTTTCGCCATCTTATCCACCAGCTCATTGCCATGTATGTTGGCGTACCCGGGAACCCATCAGATGTTAACTTGTTCAAAGCAGTTAATAAGTGGGCACAACGCCTCCCACATACCCGCAGATTCCCCCTCGCGTGACCTATCACGAATGAGGGATATAGCGCTCGCACAGTCCGTAAACAAGTCAAGGTACCACTATAATACAGTGACACATCGTGCAGGGCACACACAATGGCTAGCAGTTCGCACTCAACGATAAACCAACCAAAGGGTACAGCGTGTCCATGAGCCTCTTCGTACATGGCACCTTCAGAGACTACACAAGCCATTCCACACCCGAGTGAGGTCTTTGACCCATTGGTATATATGATGAGCGTTTCTTTCATTGACAAGTCCTCAAGTAAGCGGTGGTGTCGGCCAGCAGCACCCTCCTTAACCATAGTGGGAAAGGTGATACACATGCGTAGTAACCTCTTGTCTGACAGCATATGATATGGAACCATATCGGGTCAGCGCAGTCATCACGGACCGAGCCAAACCATGGATGGTGAGCACAGTACAGATAATTGACCATGCGGCTATAGAATCGACGCTGTAGATACTACCTCTATAAGGCAACCGGTGCTGTACCAAATTCAGCCATCAAAATATTGTTGGCAATCTTAATCGGACAGCGGAAAAGACTCCTTGAACAATCATTAACATGCACCTGAATTCACTTCACATACGGTCTGAAGTCAGCTACGAATTAGAGGCCATAATAAACTGCCATCAGATACCCTCACTGGAAAAGCAGAAACGTCTCCCATGTACCAAACCCCCCAACAGAACCGAACCTCCTCCCCAACGCCGAAATCCTCCTCCTTACACCTAACCCTCAATTCAATCAATATCCAACATACGCAGACATGTTTCCAAAGCAGTTGAACTGATAGCCAAGGATTTTTAAGTCTTCCGATGGCTCTATCTCGCTTCCATCCAACTTCAATGCCTGCCAGCTGACATCTCCAACGCCCAGCCACTTGGCCTTGATTAACCTAAACCCCATTCCCCTAGAATGCGCTACCCTATTGCAGTCCTCAAATATCTCCACAATATGTAGTAGGATAGATTGAACAAAGTCTGTAGCAACAGCAATAACACCATTATCGACATAGCTAATCACGATACTCCTTAGCGAAGATCGGTAGCAAAGTCTAGCTGTAAATATATCGGCGACATATAAGCCAAACGAAAAGGGCAATAACGGTGAAACCTGCGGTATTCCTTTAGTTGTCTGATATCGGCGGGATATGCGTCTGTTGAACCAGAATTGCACTACACATTTCACAGCCCACCTCCTCACCCAAGCAACGACTATCGCTGGACAACCGTGTGCCATGAGGAAATCCGACGGCAGATTCAAGTCTTTATTGTCAAAACCTCCTTCCACCTCAATGGAAACCAAAGCAGCTTTCAGGTGCTTGTTATAGGCAAAGAACTCATAAACAACTGAGATAGCATCGTGGCAGCCTGGTTTACGTCTGAATCCAAACTGTGTATCACCAGGGTTAATGTAGGAAGTGAGACTCATGAGCACAACACTTTCCGCAACCTTAGCTAATATCAGCAGTAAGTGGATCATTCTCCATGACTTGACAATGTCATAACGAGGCTTGTCGGCCTTAGGGATCAGGACTACCACTGGCGAGTACCAGTCCTCAATGTCATGGCATAACCTATAATCAACAAGACATTGGACGGTGACAGGATCTTGGCAGTGACAGAACCAAATATACGAATAACCAATATCATGCATTCCTGGTCCTGTATTAGCTGGACTCCGGCAATTGCCATTTCGATATCCACGGCAGGCTCCAATTCAATAGACGTAGGTATTGTCCATGACGTAATGGCAATAGGGTCAGGTTGTGCTGCAATGAGATCATGGATAGCCTGGTGATCACCAATACAAATACCACTATCGCTCACAATAGGAGGTATTGTGAATCGTGTTTTGATAGAATGGGCGTGGCCAAATATTTCGGGAGACTTGGCCTCTACTAGCCAATCTCTGATGTGGTCGTAACAACCGTTCACAAGAGTGTACCTGTATACATTGCGGGGTAATCTATCGTCTTCCGATCCGACATCACCCAGTCATATCGTCGCAGGGGTTCAACATCCTTCCACATCCGCTTAAGCTCATTTTTCCAGCACACACGGTGACTTCTACCTGTGCCACAGTGAGGCAGTCCATCAACAATGTTCCTAACACGCCCCCACAACTCTTTATCACCAAGTGACCTAAGCCGTTCAAAGCCTGTAGCAGCTTGGTCCTCCTTGCCTATCTTCCATCCTGGTCTGGGTCGCATCCCCACCGTAGGAACATTAGCTACCCACTGAAATATCTCCCCAGAGTGTTCTAACCCGGCAGCATTAACATATAGGTTGTAACTTGGTCTGGCCTTCCATGAGCACAGATCAAGGGTGTTAACATTCTGGAAGGTATGCTAGCGGGGAAGCGTAACACCACGTTGCTATTTTTGCAAGTAACTGAACAGCCATCCCGCGTGATTATTAACCTTCTGGTTGCTTGCAGCATTCCAGTACTTGTGACGTGCATTGAAGTCACCCACCAACACATCACACACCACCATATCCTCACACGCCTTCACAACGTCCGCCTTAGCCATTGCCGGACTTAAGTAGACCCCCTGCACATGAGATGGCACACCCCCATGTACATAGTCCACCATTACGCATGTCACATCATGTCCACCAACTTCAAACAACCCACACAACATGGAACGAACATAAACCTCCATCCCATATCCCAGAACAAACGATGACAAATTAAAGCCTGCCATCTCATGGGCAACATGACAACCACTATTCCCAACCGGGAGATCAATAACAAAAAACACATCAACATAGGAAAACAAATCAAGCGCCAGCAACCGATTCCAAACACCCGCCCACACATTGATCGCTAAGGCCATAATCCGCATTAATACGGTACCTCAGCTCATCCAGAATTACAGGCAATGGGCTTCTTCAAAAGCTCACTGAAATGGTGGCTTTTTTAGTAGAGGGGCCGGAGCCCAAAGCGGAGGAAGAGAGAACAGTGTTACCCTTAGCAGCGGTAGTGGCAGCCCACTTATCACGGATAATTCGGTCAGACTAAGGGATAGTGGATTTACCACAGCGGTGGTGGATCATTATTTTGACCGCCCTATCGGCCACTCCAAATCTCCTCGACATATTATCCGCAACCACAGGAGTTGCAGCACCTGAGGCGAGGGAGGAAGGAACAGAGGTGGCGGCAAGGATGGCGGGGCACTGGTTGTAGCCAGTAAAGTGGTCGGAATGTTCACACAGCAAACAAAGTCGAAGCAGATGCACACAAGCCTCACCTACACCACCAGAACAATTAAGTTGCCCACACTTGCGTGACTTGGAAAGGTGCCTGTTTTGGCAAAGACGGCGAGTCGAACACACTCCATGACAGAGGAATCAGAGGAGGGAGAGGGGTAACTTGTGCCCATAGAGGGCATAGGTTCAGGTGAAGGAGACTCCATGCTCCCTCACTCAAATGGTATCGAAAGACTACCTGGCTAAACCTTAGATATCTCCCGTTCGAGTACCCTTCAATGTGAGACGACAACACACTGTCAACGACACAAGTGAACGAAAAAAAGTAATGTAAAGTTAGTCGGGAAACAAAAAATGTTTGATAAAGCTGTGAGAATATAGAAGAGTCCCATCACAACCAATTATCAGCCTCGTAACCCGGAGATGAGATACAGGACAAACTCCCAGTCGGACACGGTCAAGGAATACGTTCACTGCCTTAACTCCACCCTCTGTGTGACGCAGTGTTCTCTCTGTTGCTTATTGGAGAACTACCAGACCACTGAGGTATACAATTAAAATCAACCCCACAGTGATGTTCGAATTCTAACTTGACAGATAGTGTATCAACGTCCCTGAACCCCTCAGGAAGTATATTCCATAGGCCTCAGAGCTTTTCCCCTTCAGCAAAGAGTCTTTGACCAATAACACCTCGATGGGAAGGGGTAACCCAAAGGCATAGACGCATAGACAGGGCCCAGGTATCACCAAAAGCTTGGGTATGGTTCCCGCCCTCTATGTACAACCACTCCGTTGATGGAACTAGTCACGCCTTTGCATACGTTTCTTTTTTTTTTCTTTTCTTTTTTTCAAAAAAAATGATATCCGGATGAAGAAAAAAATAGTGCTATGGTTCCGGAATGCTACACTCTATACAGGTTGTCCTCCAAAAAGCAACAATTCTTCCTGGTACAGTGATGGCAATACTTAGAACAATTCTTACTTTGCCTCCCTTCCAGACCAACCCCAAACTTGACAAGTTCATTATACTGATGATCATAGAATTCCTCGTTCTACCTTTGCTGTTATATCATATTCTCTAACTGTCTCATAATATGGTCTTACGCTATGTTTCACTCGCAAAATCATATATCACCAGATGAACAACTGCTAGCAAAAGATTCATCCCCACCGCATCTTCTCACATTCTGCCACCGATGTGGAATTTGCCTCTATTGTGATTGGATACTTTTATAATCTCATGGCTTCAGCAAACATTTTTTGTTTCCCCGACGAACTTTACTTTACTTTTTTCCGTTCCCTGGCGTCGTTGACAGTTTGTTTTCCTCTCACTTTGAAGGGTATTTGAGAGGGAGATATCTAAGGTTTAGCTGAGTAGTCTTTCGATACCGTTTGAGTAAGAGAACATGGCGTCTTCTTCACCTGAACCTTTGCCCTCTGTGGGCCCAAGTTCCCCTTCTCCCTCCTCCGATTCCTCTGTCATGGAGTGTGTTCGACTCGCCATTTTCACCATAACAGGCATCTTTCCAAGTCCCATTAGTGTGGGCAACTTAATAGTTCTGGTAGTGTAGGTGAGGCATGTGTGCATAAGCGTCAATTTTGTTTGCTGTGTGAGCAAGCCAACTACTTCACTGGCTACAGCAAGTGCCCTAACGTTCTTTCCACCTCCTCTGTTCCTTCCTCCTTTGCTTCAAGTACTGCAACTCCTGTGGTTACAGACGATACGTCCAGAAGATTTGGAGTTGCCGATATGTCAGTCAACAGAATGATCCCCCACTACCGTGGTAATTCCACAACCCCTCAGTCTGACCGAATCATCCGTGATAAGGAGGCTGCCACTGCTGCAGCCAAGGGTAAGACTGTTCCCTCTTCCTCCACATTGGGCTCCCAACTGTCTACTAAATATGCCTTTGTTCCAGTGTACATTTTTAAGAAGCCCGTTTCCAATGCTTCTGGATCAGCTGAGGCCGCATTTTAATGCAGATTATGGCCTTGGCGATCAATGTGGCGATGTGTGGTGGGAATCAGTCGCTAGCTATGGATTTGATTTCTTATTTTAATATGTTTTTTGTTATTGATCTCTGAGTTGGGAATGGTGGTAGTCATGTTACCCATGTGGTAGAGGGCATTGATTTGTTTTCATTTGTTGTGGGATCTAGTGTAGAGGTTTATATTTGCTCAATGCTGTGTGGGTTGTTTGGAATTGGTAGACATGATATGACATGCGCGAAGGGGGACAAGGTACATGAGGGTGTGGCATGTCATGTGGGGGGGGTCTACCTGAGGCCAGGTATGGTTAAGGCCGGCTTGGTGAAGTCTTGTAAGGACATGGTCGGATGTGATGTTTTGCTGGGTGACTTTAATCTATATTACAGATACTGGAATGCTGCCGGTAACGCCAAGGTTAATAAGCATGGGCGCTGGCTGTTCAGTTATATACAACCACAGCAACTCAGCATTACGCTTCCCCAATAGCATACCTTCTGATTCGGCAGCTGTATTGATCTGTGCTTATGGATGGTCTGACCGAAATACTACCAATATGTTGATGCTGCCGGATTGGAGCACTGTCGGCAGATAATTCAGTGGTTAGCTGATGTTCCTGCAATGGAGATGCGATCCAGACCGGCATAGAAGAGGGCCAATTGGGACCAGATTGCTATAGGTGTACTCTTTTGAACACACGTTATGGCCCCATCAGAGATCAGCTAGGGGAGGCCAAGGACCCGGAAATATTTCGTCTCCCCCGATCTATTGAAACGTGAAGGACAATACCTTCTATGGTGGTCAATAATGGCATTTGTATTTATGATCACCAGGTGGTTAGTGATCTCCTCGCGGCACAACATGACCCTGTTCCCCTTGTGACATGGACGATACCTCCGGTTATTAAACTAGAGCCTGCCGTGAATATAGGAATGTTAATTGGCCGGGGTCTGCGCAACACCGGACCAGGAATGGATAATATTGCCTATCGGTTCATTGAGTTCTGATACCGGTGGAATCCTGTAACCATCTAACGTCTTCTTGTTTATGGGTTAGGCCATCAGATTGAGGACTGGTACTCAGCAGAGGTAGGCCGAATCCCTAAGGCCGACAAATCTCATCAGGACATCGTTAAGTCATGGAGGATGATCCATCGACTACCGATGTTAGCCAAGGTTACGGAACATGTGGTGCTTATCAGGCTCGCTTCCTGCCTTGACCTTGGAGATACACAATTCGGATCAAGATGTAAACGGGAATGCCATGATGTGATCTCAGCTGTCTACGAGTTCCCTGCCCATAACAAGCACCTCGAAACTGCTTTGATTGCCATTAATGTGGAAGGGGGCTTTGACCACATAGATTTGGATCTGCTGTCGGATTTCCTCGTGGCACGGGACTGTCCAGCAATACTCTGTGCTTGGGTAAGGAGGTGGGCTGAGAGACGTGTGGTGCAATTCTGGTTCAACGGACGCATATCCCGTCGATATCAGAGAACTAGAAGAATACTGCAGCATTCACCATTGTCACCCTTTCTATTTGGTCTATATGTCGCCGATATCTTTACACCTAGACTTCAGTACCCACCTTCGCTAAGGAGTATCGTAATCAGCTATGTCGATGATGGTGTTATTGAGGTTGTGGCAGACTCTGTCAAATCTACCCTACAATATGTTGTAGAAATATTTGAACACCGCAATCGAGTGGCAGGGTCGAGAGATATGGGGTTCAGTCCTATGAAGACCCAGTGGCTGGGCTTTGGCGATTGCAGCTGGCAGGCATTGGAGTTGGATGGAAGCAAGATAGAGCCATCGAAAGACTTAAGGATCCTTGGCTATCAGTTCAACCGCTTTGGACACATGTCTGCACATGTTGGATATTGGTTGAATAGAGGCTTGCGTGTTAGGTGGATGATTTGGGTGTTGGAGAGAAGGTTTGGTTCTGTTGGGTGGTTGGGTGCATGGGAGATGTTTTGGCTTTTCAAGTTCGCGTATCTGCTGACGGTTTATTATGCCATTGAATTCGTAACCGACTTCGGGTTGTATGTGAAGCGAATCCTGGTGCATGTTAATGACTGCTTAAGGAGTCCTTTCCACTGTCCGATTAAGATTGCCAACAATATTTTGATGGCTGAATTTGGTACACTGCCAGGTGTCCTACAAGAACGGTATCTACAGCGTCGATGCTATAGCCGCATGATCACTTACAAGTACTGTGCTGACCATCCATGGTTTCGCTCGATCCGTGATCTCTGCGCTGACCCGGATATGGTTCCATATCGTATGCTGTCATACCAAAGGTTGCTGCGTCCATGTATCACCTTTCCTACTGTGGTTATGGAGGCCACTGCTGGCTGACACCACCGCTTACTTGAGGACTTGTCAACGAAAGAAACACTCATCATATATATCGATAGGTCAAAGACCTCACTCGGGTGTGGAATGGCTTGAGTAGTCTGCGAAGATGGCATGTACGAAGAGGCTCGCGCACACGTTGTACCTGTTGGTTGATCTATCGTTGAGTGCGAACTGCTAGCTATTCTCTGTGTCCTGCGTGATGTGTCACTGTATTATAGTAGTACCGTTGACCTGTTTACTGACTGTGCGAGCGCTATATCCCTCATCCGTAATATGTCCCCCGAAGAGGAATCTGCGGGTATATGGGACGAGTTGTGCCCACCTATCAACTGCTTTAAACAAGTTAACATCCGATTGGTCCCCGGGCATGCCAACATACATGGCAATGAGCTGGTGGATAAGATGGCGAGAGCAGCGGTATCCCTTAGGCCACAGCCTCGATACTGGCAAGGCTTGTGCTTTGGCATAGAATACTCCATGATTGCAAAGGACAAAAGGAAGCGAGAATTCTTGTGGTGGCACAAGGATGAAGGATACAGCTATTACGAGCGCAGGCTGCAGCCACCCCGACACTTGCGAGGGCTGACCTGAATGGACGCGTTTGTGTTGCTATGGATTCGATCGGGCACCAGCATGGTTGGTTATCATGACTGTATCGGGATTGACATACGTCGACATTGGACTGAGTGTTCTCGTTATAATACTGTACAGTCGGACAAGCTATATGATGATCGACAGATCGCAGCCTGGAAGACTTGGTGGATGTGGCATGACTAACTTGTGCTTGGTATTCCTGCACATCTTTTTATTATACATGGCGAAAGGATAATTGCCGGTAACCCCTTGGACCACACCCTGTATGTGAAGCGTGGAGGCACCCTGACGGTTCTGACGGATGACTCGTATGACAACCGCCCGGTCACACATACTTCCAATATGGCCCGTTAGGTGTTGGCATTATTTGGAAGGCCGGACATGTGTGCATATTGTGCCCAGACATTCACGTTACAAAGAGAGTTCCAGAGGCACATCGCGGATCACCCGGAGTGTGCTGATGACTGGGCTGGGGTTTACTGGGAACAGATGGTTGGCATGTGGCATGAACTTGATTACGCCACAAGGAACAGCTTGGTCGTTTTTTGGGCCATGAAGATTGCTGTTTTTGGTGTATGTTGCCCTAGCTGTGCCATTGTGTTTGCGAAGAGGAAAACGATGATAAGGCATGTCAGGTGACGGAGCAGATGCTGGGATAAATTGCTTAGTTTGTTCTGCTAATGGGCGTGTGATAATTTGGATGTGTTGGAGGGCGATATTGGGAGGAGTGGTGCGAGGCGTGAAGACGCATTAATCTGTGATCCCGCTAGTCGGGATGAGCGCCCGTGAGCATCCTGGT